AAAAAAAAAAAAAAAAAAAAAAAAAAAAAAAAAAAAACAGCAACCTACCGTGGCTATAGCTGAAGACTTTGGTAAAAAGGCTTACTTAAGATTTTTTTTTTTTAACCTTAAAAAATAACAATAGCATACTAGTATTTTTAAATAAGCTTGTTTTTAATCATGAGGGGTCTATTTTATAAATTTTAAATGTTTTAAGTCAGGTGCAATGGCACACACCTTGTAGCCCCAGCGACTTGGGTGGCTGAGGCAGGAAGATCACTTGAGCTCAGGAGTTTGAGGCTGGCCTGGTGTGAACATAGGGAGACTGTCTCTAAAATTAAAATATAAATAAATGTTTTAGAAAAAATTTTAAGTTATATACATTCATTGACTATCATGTATATATCTCAGTTTACTTATAATTTATGTGAAAACTCAACAGATTTTTAATGCATACTGTTTTTGACAATCACAAATGAGATTTAAATCATGTTTAAATTAAACATGTTGGAATACTTAATTGAATTCCACATTCACCAATTCAGCAAATATTACTTAGTGTTTGTCTTCTATTTGGCCCTATATAAGGATTTGTAAGAGATATGTAGGATTACTTACCAAAGATTTTAACCCTTTTGAATTCAAAGTGTGAAATCATATGAAAGAGCACTAAGACAGTTTTTAGGAAGAATATAAACTTTTTTGAACATGGAGCTGTCCTGATTACAACCAGTTGTGTTCATATTAAATTAAAGGGAAAGTCTTTTATTTAACTTATTCTATTTTTATATCCTTATATTTTTATTTATGTGGGGAAGGGAAATTGACTAGTAGAGATGGCATACAGATTTTGAGGAGACAATGTGTCTTCCTTTCTGGGTCTAAAATTCTTCAAAATAACTTGAAAATATAATGCAAATGCAAACATAATGTATGTGCAATATTTATATGTGTACACATACACACATATGTATGTACATACATAATCAGGCATATTTACAGGGATGCTTTAAATTTCAAGCTAGCATTTCTCTATGAAATTCAGTGTTCATTTTGGCAATACTAGTTGGGGATGAGCCTACCACAGTATCTATGTAGAAATGACTTTTCAAAGACCAGAAATGTGTTTTAGTTTGGGATTATGTTTTTAGCATATTGTTACTTTGAAATCCAGGCTAAAAAATGTAACTGTTAGCACTTACATCTTTAACATTTAGCATTGTAGAACAAACCTACGCGCCAGCTGAATGTGTAAGCCAGGCCATAGACATCAATGAACCAATAGGCAATTTAAAGAAACTGCTAGAACCAAGACTACAGTGTTCTTTGGATGCTCATGAAATTTGCCTGCAAGATATCCAGGTAATTTTTATTTTTGTAAATTTGTATTGCAACATTTTAGTCTGCATAGGAATATTTTTTTGTTAGCCTTTTCTTTATAGCTATAGACTTTATCTCTGTAAGATGATTTGATATTACTATAAAATTTAAGTGTTTAGAAATAAGGTTTTCAAGCAAAATTTTCTCCATTTAAAATTATATTTTAAAAATTTAGTACTAAAACAAATGAAACATTTGTTTTTTACTTTTCACAAATATAAAATGAGAAGTTTAAATAAATAAGAATCAAAGCTTAGATATAAGTAGTAATAGTAGGGAGCACATTGACTTTTGAAACTGAAGTGTATTTCTTGCCAGCTTCTAACTTCTCAAATGTATCATTTAACTAAATGATTTCCACATTTCCCTTTTACCTTTATTTTCTCTGACAGTAGGTTTTGGATAAGAATTTAAATGGTAACTGATAGGTCCTGGAATTTATTGTAAAAGGATTTACTTATGGTAGTATTCTAATATGTTATGTCTGAATCATATTCCGAGTCATATTTTGCAGTATGTTTTCAAGATAGGTAGTACTTTTATGTATAAAAGTAGCAGCTTAAATAGAATTGCCCATACAGTTTTCCATGACCTTTCTTAAACATATGATTAAATACATACTACAGTTTTTTACTTTTTCTTTTTTCTTTTTTTTGAAATGGAGCCTCATTCTGTCACCCAGGCTTTAGTGCACTGGTGCGATTTCAGGTCACTGCAACCTCCACCTCCCAGGTTCATACCATTCTCCTGCCTCCGCCTCCTGAGTAGCTGGGACTATAGGCCAATGCCTCCACACCTGGCTAATTTTTGTATTTTTAGTAGACAGGGGGTTTTGCCATGTTGGCCAGGCTAGTCTCGAACTCCTGACCTCAAAGTGATAGTCCGCCTTGGCCTCCCAAAGTGCTGGGATTATAGGTGTGAGCCAGCGCACCTGGCTGAGTTTTATACTATTTTTATTTATGTATTTATTTATATATTATATGTATATAAATTTTTATATATATAAATATTTTTATATTTTTTATATATAAAATTTTATATTATATATTAATTATATAATTTTATATATTATATATAAATATATAATATAAGTAGTATATATTATATATAAATATATAATACAAGTATTATATATTAATAATAAATATATATTATTTATATATTTATTATTAACTTAGATTAATGTATATTGTGTCATCTTTTGGATCGTTCTTTACTCTTTACCCTGCCTGCCTTGTGATATAGGTATTCCTTATATTACAGAACTTTTGTGTTAGTTTTTTAAAAATTCAAATCATCATATGCTGCTACTATTTTTAATAAAATACTGTTGTACAGTAAGTTGAAATGTTTTAACAAAATTTGTGCATTTTATTTGCCTTTTAACCATACTTTAATCTTTTCATTTCAATATAAATCTAGTAATTGATGGTGGGTAGGGATGATAGAGTGCTCTAAAACTAGGGAATGTGGGAAGGTCTAGTAATGTTACAATTTTAGGATTTAAAGTTTTTTCTCTTAATGACAGGATGAATTAACTTAGTCGTTTTGGAAGACTACCTCCCATTTAATATCTGTTAATGTTAAATGTGAAATAGCTAACGGTTCCACTTCAGCAAATTATTCCTACAGAAATGCTCACCTGGGTGGGTAAAGGTATATGCATGAAGATGTTCATGGCTTTGCAAAAACTGAAAACACCTCAAATGTTCCAAAAATGAGATTTGATATGTTAGTTCCATAGAATAGAATCTGAGGTAGCTATTAAAAACTGGTGAACTTGGGCTATGTGGGCAAGGTACGTTGAGTGAAAAAAATACTTCCAAAACACTCTAATTCTCTCATGTAGTCTTCACATCAGTCTTTGAAATCAGCATATTAGTAGTCACATTCTGCAGATGTAGAAACAGATTTAAAGAGGTTAAATAATGTGCCCAGTGTGTGGCTACAAAGGGGTATACTGGAATTTGAACCCAGACCTCTGTGGCTCCAGAACTCTCTTGTTTAAGGCAAAAAAACAAAAAACTTTTTTAAAGGTTTATAATGAATATAACTCAGTGTCACTGGACTTTGCCTGGTTTGCTCATATGTAAAATAAAGGGGAATCTGGACTTAATCTCTTAGTTGTCTTTCAGCTGTAACATTTATTGCTTTCTTTTTAATACTTGACCTATCCAAAGTGAAAGTATGGCCTGCAGATTACCCAACCTCTTCCAGATTCTCAGTAAATATTAGTTGGATAAATGGTAATATTTATAATTCATATTGTCATAGAATTCAGGGCTAGCTTTGGATCTATGGGCATTTTGTGTTACTCCTTGTCCCCCTTTCCTCCTTAAAAAGGATATGAGGACCACCACTTCTGTTCTTCATGTCAATGCAAACATACATTTGAATCAGAAGTCTTGCTGCTTATGGTAATGCTCTTATATTTTCAGATGTGGGCTGACTTGAAAGCTGAGGGAACAACGGCTAAGTTGCACTTTTTTGAAGAATGTTAACATAAGATCAAATACCAGGCTTGAGTTTTGTCCTTGTTCTGGCTTTTAGTGAACTTGCTAATATGTTCAGTACCTGAGCACTTATACTTTTAGAGTTACATTTGCCATAGCTTCTAGTGGATAATACCAGCGTCCACCAGACAAGGAGAAAAAACTTGACCTTAAGACAATTTTTAATGAAATGTATATTAATGGATGAAACTGTCATATTTAATCTATCTGTCTACAAGATTACACAGTCTTTTTTTTTTTTTTTTTTTTGAGATGGAGTGTCACTCTATCACCCAGGCAGAGTGCAGTGGCACTCACTGCAACTTCCACCTCCCGGGTCCAAGCGATTCTCATGCTTCAGCCTCCCAAGTAGCTGGGATTACAGGCGTGCGCCACCACTCCTGGCTAATTTTTGTATTTGTGTATAGACAGGGTTTTACCATGTTGCCCAGGCTGGTCTTGAACTTCAGACCTCAGGTGATCCACCTGCCTTGGACTCCCAAAGTGCTGGGATTACAAGTGTGAGCCACCACGCCCAGCCCTACACAGTTTGTCTTATCCCCTGTTCAAGTTAGATTCGTAGTCATTTGTCATGTGTTTGTGCCATGACGACACCATCAGGTTAATTATTGGGATTGAGAGTAGGACCTGCAGCTATATGACTTGCAGACACAGTTATAAATTATGCAAGATGATTATAACGGAAGCCTGTCTATAAGCTGATTACAGAAAGTGTCTGGAAGTCAGAATTAACATCAATTTACCATCATGTGAAATGCATTCATTATAAGGATATATGAAGGAAAAAACACTAATACTGAAATGATATAGAATTAGGATTCAAGATATAGCTAGGTTAGGTAGTAAGGTCATAAGTGCTTTAATTTTATTAACTTTATGATGAGAGATTTAGAGTAAACCCTTCAATATGTAGCACTGGTTACAAGGCAGATATGGCAAGAATATGTTAATATATTTAGATAAATTATCACCACTAATTAAACACTCTTATTCATGACAGGTATAGCGTACTTTAAATACATTTCAGAATGAATAATTGACTTTTGGAATTATTTTAAATCCCAAACTAGACTCCAGAGATAGAAAAAACTGACATGACAAATTTGGTGGTATGCGGTCCTGAATTACTTCCTCAGTAGTGAAAATATTTTAAATTTTGGCAGAGAATTAAATATGACAAGCTAGATAATGTGTTCTTATAATTTAATTAGTGTGTTCAGCAATTAAGTTCTTTTTGGTACATCCATTTATTCTAAACCAAAGACAAGGGACTTAATCTAATGATTGCACTAAAATAATCTTACTCATTTTATCATCCATGGTTAGCTGGATCCAGAACGAAGTTTATTTGACCAAGGAGTAAAAACAGATGGAACTGTACAGCTTAGTGTACAGGTAATTTCTTACCAAGGTAAGTTACTTTTCATGATAGTTATTTAAAATTTTAGCTCATGTTTTTCTGATATAATTTATAAGTCTTAAGTGTTTTAGATGGTTGTCTAAATTACTTGATATAACAGCCAAATATTCCTGCTTTGGGTTTCATAGTTGTATTTGACAGGGTGAAACAGATAGTGTAACCTATTCTACCTAGTTTAATCATAAAAGGATATCTTATATGGTAGTAAATAGCAGAATCACAGAGAGTGTTGGAAGTCAGCAGGTTCCAGCTGACTTCCTAAGAGTACCTCAGCCACACTGCAGAGCTGGACTGCTAAGGAAGCTGCTGCCTTGCCATGATCTGGAAAATACAACACCTGGAAGCTGCCATGGTGGCTGTCACTTAAACCATGTTGCCTTTACAGTGATCTACACTAGTCAAAAAAACAGGATGTGTGCTGGCTGCGGGGGTGCACGCCTGTAATCCTACCACTTTGGGAGGACAAGGTGGGTGGATCATTTGAGGTCAGGAGTTTGAGAACAGCCTGGCCAACATGGTGAAACCCCATCTCTACCAAAAAAACAAAATAAGATGGGCATGGTGGCACATGCCTGTAATCCCAGCTACTTGGGAGGCTAAGACAGGAAAATCACTTGAACCCAGGAAGTGGAGGTTGCAGTGAGCAGAGATTGTGTCACTACACTCCCTCCTGGGCAACAAGAGCAAAACTCTGTCTCAGTCAGTCAGTCAATCAATAAAAAAAATAGATGGCATAGGCCTCAATGGTCCCCAACCTTTTTTGGCACCAGGGACCAGTTTCACAGAAGACAATTTTTCCATGGATTGGGGCAGGGGAATTCAAGCACATTACATTTATCGTGTGCTTTGTATCTATTATTACTACATTATAGTGTATAATGATACAATTATACAACTCACCATAATGTAGAATCAGTGGGAGCCTTGAGCTTGTTTCCCTGCAACTAGACAGTTTCATCTGGAGGTGATGGGAGACAGTGACAAGAGTATCAGGCATTAAATTCTCATAAGGAGCATGCAACCTAGATACTTCACATGTGCAGCTCACAATAGGGTTTGCGCTCCTGTGAGAATCTAATGCTGCCAGTGATCTGACAAGAAGTAGAACTCAAGCGGTAATGTGAGCGATAGGGAGCAGCTGTAAATACAGATGAAGCTTCATCCACTTGCCTGCCAGTCACCTCCTGTTGTGTGGTCTGTGGCCTGGGTTTTGGGGACCCCTGATCTGCCTGCTTGCCCCCTCTTAGCTCATTTCCAAATAGAAAGCTTATACCAGTGATTCTAAAGCCTAAATCACACCTGGAACCCTAGCTGCATAGAAATCCAGTCTGTACAGTTTAGCATAGAGAGAAGAATTTGTAATAGACATAGAATCATCCAGTCAGCCTTATTCATTACAGTATTTTAGTAAACTTGTATAAATACCCAAGTTAGAAAAGAAAATTGGGAAACTATTTTTGGTAGGTTGAATTTTAGCTTTTTTTAAAATTTAGAATAATGTCATCTCTGAACATATATTGTTCACAATTACGTTTCACAAACCATGTTTTTCTTCAGACTCTGAAAATGGTAGTTATGTACTTCTGATCCTTAATTCCCTCAGGACTGATTATTGGGAACAGGAAATAAATTAGTAGTTTTTATCTTTAAAAGCCTAGTGACTTATTGATGCAAATGTGTTTAAGAAGAGTTTACTTAAAGCCATAAACGTGTGAAATTTAGATGAAGGATTAAGAAATAGATTTTAAGAGAAAATACTTTTGATTCTGATTATTTTTATCATGTATATTTGAGAAGTGATTCTCTTTATACCACCTGAGAATGATAGTAGTAGTTTCTTGCAATACCGGTTTTCACAGAAGATCAAAGTTGAGTTGTACTTTTTCTTTAAACTGTACTTTGATTGAATTTTGATATAGATTATAATAGATTCAGTAAGGAACAGAAGCAGTTATATAAGATAGTGTCTTAGAGCTGTCATTTTAGTCTAAGTTTATTTCATAAAGGGCTAATTCCATTTTGAATAAATAATAGTATGTCTTAGAGAGAGTACTGCACACATACTGAAATAACTGCTTTTATGGCATAATTTCTTAATTATAATTTCTGAAACAGGTTTCAATGTTTTGATTCTGGATAGTTGAGGAGCCTTTGTATTAATAAATTATTTATCTTTGTCTTTTCCATAGGAATTACAATTCTTAACACTTTTATACTAGGAGCTTAAAATATTCAGGATTTGGGTTTTTCTTCATCTAATTTAAAATGAAAATTAGAATTTGATGGCAAATTTAATTTAGCAAATTTGGCATCGTTTTTAACACATCTACTTTGTCCTTTAAAAAGAAAAACTGAGTTAGTAAATAATAATTTTAATTTGTTTAGAAGGATTTTTTAAAATTCCAAGGATAGGTAGCTGCTTGTTTATACTCTGCATAGTCTAATTTTTATTTTGTTTCATATTGGTAATTTTTATTTTTATTTTATTGTGGTATGAATGGGTACTTTTTTTCTAATGATGTTTATAGGTAGGGTTTGTGTGTGTCTTATATTTTCTAAAATTATTTTAAACTTGTAGAAAAGTTGCAAGACTAGTAAAATAATTCTTGAATATTCTTCACCCAGATTCCCCAAATGTTGACTTTTACTACATTTGCTTTATTCGATGCAGTTTTTCTCTACCATTTGGGAACATATAAACTAAATTATGTTTTGGTGACTTCTGTGTTTTCATTTAGATTCATAATTTTTTTTATCCACTGTTAAGGAATTGAACCAAAGTTAAACATCCTTGAAATTGTTAAACCTGCGGACACTGTTGAGGTGGTTATTGATCCAGATGCCCACCATGCTGAATCAGAAGCACATCTTGTTGAAGAAGCTCAAGTGATAACTCTTGATGGCACAAAACACATCACAACCATTTCAGATGAAACTTCAGAACAAGTGACAAGATGGGCTGCTGCACTGGAAGGCTATAGGAAAGAACAAGAACGCCTTGGGATACCCTATGGTAATGAAATACATAATTCTATGTTGGGTAGAACAGTAGGAATTAAGGTTGACATAGAAGACACTAGGGTAAGTTATCATCTATTTTTCATGTAGAGTTATTAGAATGAATATTGATTTTCTTATCTCTCTCTTTTTTAATTGTAACGCACATTTAAGCTCATATGGTGGACAAATTCAGTCCCGCGTGCCGGAAGTACAAAGAAGTCTAAAAAATTTCTGCTCTTAGGGTGTTGAGAGTGTAGTTGAAGAGAGAGAAGATAGATGAAAAGAGATAATTGCTGTAAAAGGTAACATGTTTTTAAACTGTTAGTAACTCTTATAGAAGAAGCATGCTATTGGAATCTTAAAGGGATCATAGTTGCCCTGAGGGAAAGTTGAAAAGAGTTTATTATAAATAAGATACTATTGGGCAGAGAAAGACATTTAAAGACAGGAAGTGTTATGTGCAAAGCTTAGACCTCGGGGTATGCGTGAGTAGTGAGAAAATTGAGTGGTTAAGGAGTTACTCTAGCATTACAGAACTGTTTTGATTGATGAAAATAATTGAAAAATGAATATGGTGGTGGTATATGGCATAAGTTGGAACAGGTAGAGACTGAGTGAAGGGAAAACAGGAGCATATTATTATAATTGTGGCTAGATGATAGGTGATTTCTTTGGGAGTAGAAAGGAAAAAGTAGATGAAAACAGTGATAGGACTGAGCAGATTGACAGATTTTATGAGAGTAGAGAGGGAAGATACAAGTATTGATCTAACTTCTCAAGCTTCATCTTGGTGACTGAAACGGTAATAATCTTGATAAAAATTGGTTCCATCATCATTACATGTTTAGTGAACACTACCATATGCCAGGCACCATGTTAAATGCTAGGCTTAATTAAGATGGTGCACTAGAAAGAGCATGCCTCCAATAGCCCAGTTGGGGAAGTAGAGAAGTCTGGTATAGGAAATGCTTTTTTCAAAAGAAGGTGGATAGCACTTGATTTTGAGGTGAAAGTTTATATTCGGCTGGAGGTAGCCAGAAAATGGTTTCAGTTATATAAGATTTGGGCTGGAGACAAAGATGTTATATGAGATTCATTCACATTGAATTTGTATATGAAGCTATAAAAGTCTATGGTAGTCCCTGATGGAGAGCAAGGAATGGAAAAGAACACACAACTAAAGCATATACCCTAGATCCTATAAACATTTAGGGTTGGAGAAAAGGGATACAAGAAATAACTTATATGTATAGTGTCACTGAAATTGAGGGGAGAGTTTGGATGGTCAAGACTCTCAGATGCTGCCGAGAAAGTCAAAGAATGCTCACTGATATCTCTTAAATGTGATGATCAGAGGATCATTCTTAAATTTAGACGAAAGTAACTAGAGTTGGCAAGACAAAACAGAATTATAAGAAATAGACATCTTAGAAGTGGGGGCGGATGAGGAAGAATGCTGGGGTAACAAATAAATACGATTGATCATCCAAGAGTTGGTGGGGACCTCAGTGTATTTGTAAATGAAACAGTATTGTCAGGTTTTTTGTCCTTTTTTTATTTTGTGTTTTTAGAGACAAGGTTGTACCTGGGGAGCAGTGCTGATGACAGAAAGGCTGTGTTATAGAACTGCTGTTTTCCCTAAGACATTTTTTTCTTTCTTTAAACCAAACCTTAAAAGATACGCAGTAAATGATAGAGCTTACCCATGGAACTGAAAGAGAGCTACGGAACCAGACGCTAGTGTAGAATTTCAGTCTGTCCCTCTACTGCCCAGGACTGTAGCCACTCGTCACGTGTGAGCACTTGAAGTGTCCCTGGTCAAAATTAAGATGTGTTGTAAATGTGAAATATCCATTAAAAGAAAGAATGTAAAAATATTTTTTAATTTTTTATATTGATTACCAGTTGAAATAACATTTGGAACATTAAGTTAAAATAAATTCATTATTAAGATGTATTTTACCAACTTTTTAAATGTAACTATTAGAAAATTTAAAATTACATAATGGTCTGCATTATATTTCTGTTGGACATCCCTGATCTTGATAATTGTAGCCTTTAGTTCTGGATGTTCTTACTGCTTTCTTTTGATAAATACCTCTGTGTTCTTTTTTCTGGAACTCCTGTTGAATCTCTTGAGTTGATCTGTTCCATCTTTTTTCGTGTTTATTTTTCATCTTTCCTATCTATACTACTTTCTGCCAGATTTTCTTGTCTTTATAATACAACCTATCTGATGTTTAATTTACAACGGCTCTTCGTTTTTGTTTGTTCCTTTCTATAGCGTTCTGATCTTATATTGCCAATATCATGTTTTCTCCTACTTCTTTGAGTATATTGATTATAGTTTTAACTTTTAAAAAGCTTTACTGCAGTATTTGTTTCTTGTGGATTCTGCTTTTCTTGTGGTTTTTGTGTTGTTTTTAACCTCTCTCAAATATCTAATTATTTTTGCCCATCTTTTCACATTTAAGAATTAATCACTTTAGGCCGGCTGCGGTGGCTCATGCCTGTAATCCCAGCACTTTGGAAGGCTGAGGCAGATGGGTCACTTGAGGCCAGGAGTTTGAGACCAGCCTGGCCAACATGGTGAAACCCTGTTTCTACTAAAAATATAAAAATTAGCTGGGTGTGGTGGCGCATGCCTGTAATCCCAGCTACTTGGGAGGCTGAGGCATGAGAATCCCTTGAACCTGGGAGGCGGAGGTTGCAGTGAGCTGAAATTGCACCACTGCACTCTAGCCTGGGCAACACAGTGAGACTCCGTCTCAAAAAAAAATAAGAATAAATAACTTTAAAGCTAGTTAATGTGAAGTTCTGAAGGATTTGATAACTATACGCTGATAAAATGAGGCATTGACTCTTTCATTAAAAGAATTTCAGGCCAGGTGTGGTGGCTCATGCCTGTAATCCCAGCACGTTGAGAGGCTGAGGTAGGAGGGTTTCTTGAGGCCAAGAGTTTGAGACCAGCCTGGGCTATGTAGCTAGACTGTCTCCACAAAAAAAAAAAAAAAAAAAAAAAAAGAGCGGGGCATAGTGGCATACACCAATATCCTGGGAGGCTCAGTTGGGAGAATTGCTTGAGCGCTGGAGCCTGAGGCTATAGAGAGCTGTGACGGCACCACTGTACGCCAGCCTGCGTGGCAAAGCAAGACGGTCTCAAAAAAAAAGGCAAAGGAATTCTTTTCAAATGTATCAGTATTTCTAGATCTTTATGCAGATACCTGTCAGCAGAAGATAGGGGTGAGCATTTGGGATCGGTGTGTATGTGAATACTGCGTTCTGGACCTGGAAAAGGACGTGGAGCAGAGAAGACGTAGAGACGGTCTCACTCTTCAGTTTATAGGGTTTTATTACTGAGAATTGTTCTCTCGGTGTCTGTTCATTTCATGTCTCTCCCCATATATATTAATAAATGTTTTCCCGGTGACCACATGTGTGGGGTACACCCATTTAACTGGCACCCCAAATGAAAGACCCTGAAGGTTCTAACCACACCATCTACTTTAAATCAGTCTCCTCATTTTCAGCTTTAAGCCTCTGTTGCTACTCAGAACCACCATGACTTGAACCGGTGAACAAGGTTCTGCGAGCAGGAATTCTCTCACTTCTTACTGGTATCCTCCTTGGCAAACATTTTAGGTCATAGTTTCCCCCCCTCTGCCAAATCGATTACCACTCTGTTTATTGTCTTCAAAACATTAGATTAAATCTCTCATCCATGCCTGTCGCTTTGTACTCATGTTCCTAGATTTTACATCCTTAAAAAATTCCTTTACTGTTGTTTCACTAGAGTCTGAGAGAAAAGAGGCAGAACATGGGTGGCCAATTAGTTATGTTAAACTAGAAGTCCTGATACTTGAGAAAACAAACCAGACAAATTATATTTTTCCCTGAGTTTTTTTTTATTCTTAAATTTTTATGTAAAATTATCTTTCATTGTCTTTTAAAAGAGGTGTGATTCAGGATAGCTTTTCTAATTTAACTCTGCTTCTGTTGTTTTCCGTTAGGATAGTATTCACAGATAAGGCAACTTTCTTTTTCGGTTCTTGTCGACTTTTACCTGGGCCTTCTCCTTCTCTTTCCTTTTCCTTGGCGTCCCTCTGCCGCTCACTTCTAATTCCATTCTGCCAGTTTCTCCTTATTGTGGGCCATTCTCCTGGAAGTGATTCTTGGCTCAGTTTGAAAAACACCCAGGTGCTACATTGCTTCAGCACTTTAAATCTTAACAGACTGCGGCTATTGGATTGGGCAAAACTGCTTTTTAGCGTTGCTTTCAGCTTGTCCTGTTGTATTTTCAATGCATGCTTCTTGGCTGTGCTCGGGCTTTCCTGAGATCAGAGTGGGTCACATTTCTCTTGCTTCCCTTTGCTTTCTCCTGCACACAAGCTAAGGCCATGGAGGTATTCTAACTGTTACTGCTTTGTCTTTACTCTCTTGTATCTTGAAGTCCATGAAAATATCTTGTCACCTGGTTTTATGTAAATGTTTGTGGGTTTTTGGTTTTGTCCTCCAGTCACTTTTTTTATGTTTACATGTACATTCAGAAAAATTAAAAAACTTTGCCATCATCTTCCTAGAATCTTCCCTTAACTTCTTTGTGGAAAAATTTAAAAATATATATTCTATGGCTATTAATCCTGTATTCTTTGAAGCTAGGGCACCTCTGTTCCTTTAGTCTCAAGTGGAATAGTTTCAGTTTCAATAGCACTTTGCCTCTTTGAATAACTTTTATAAAATTCTTATGTTTGATTTATTTTCACTATAATTTGCCCTTGGTACCTAAATGTTATTTTTTTTCCTACTTTTCTTATTGAATAGCATTTATTTATTGGGTATATAAGCAATATTATTTGAATAAATCATCTTCTTGAAGCGGGAGTACCAGAACCAAAACTAATTTAGCTAATATGTATTAAACTTACACAGATAGAATGTTCTGTTAGGTGCAGGTGATACAGCAATGTAATAGTTATAGATATTGGCCATATTTTTTTATTTATGAATTAGTAAAAAATCAGAGGGAAAAGGAAATTATTTGGATATACTCTTTAAGATTAAACAAGTGTATGAGCAAGGCACTGTTAGGTTCTAAAGATATAATGGTTTACAGGACACATTTATTGTGTTTATTAGTGTGTTGTGAGGGGACAGCTGAGTAAAACAGGCAATTACCATGTTTGTTTGTTTATTGGAAATGCATCATAAGGGTAAATGCAGGAGCAGCCAGCTTTTTACAGGAAGGAAAAGGGAGGAAAAAGGATATGGTTCATATTTTGGAGAATAAAGAATCCCCTTTTGATTTTTTTTCAATGCAATTGCAAATTTTTTTAAACTTGGATAATTTACTTTATTCTCTACAGAATAATCTCATATTTTATTCTTTCATTTGACCCACTGGAGAGCAGTTTTGCATTTTGTTTCTTGATACAGTTCCAACTGAGGTTGAACCAAGTGACTCCATCAGAAATTTAGATTACGAAATTGAAAAGGAGCTGAGGAGAAAATTACAGCATAAATTTTTGTTTTTGTTTTTTGCCTCATCTAATAAGTTTACCTCACATACTTAGGGAAAGAAAACATCTGTGTGTATGTGTGTGTATTAACAAGTTAACTGCGAATTTACACAGTATCTAAAATGGAACTAGGCTAAAGTTAATATTTTTCTTTCTAGATCCCATACAGTGGTCCACAGACCAAGTCCTGCATTGGGTGGTTTGGGTAATGAAGGAATTCAGCATGACCGATATAGACCTCACCACACTCAACATTTCGGGGAGAGAATTATGTAGTCTCAACCAAGAAGATTTTTTTCAGCGGGTTCCTCGGGGAGAAATTCTCTGGAGTCATCTGGAGCTTCTCCGAAAATGTATGAAATTACAGTTATTTCTTTACATTGTAATTTATCTGAATTTTATTTCCTTATAACTTTGTTTTCATCTTAATTGTTTATTGATAATAAGTAATAAGTAATAATTAACATTTATTTACTGTATAATGCTATGCTGAAAGCTCTATATGTTATCTCATTTAATTCCTATAGTAATACCACAAATCATTACTTTGCTTATTTTTTAGATAGGAAAGTGAGGCTTTGAGAGCCCCACAAAGTCACAGCTTGGAAGTGGCAGAGCCAGGATACAAGCCCAGGCTAACATTAGAATCCAAGTTCTTAAATCAGGTGCTGTGCCCTACACTTAGCCCTCTTCATATATTCTATTTGTTGCCTTCTGTTTGATCAGCTCTTACATTTACTGCTCATCTAGAAACTGAAGAGATCATTTGTTTGCAGGTGGCTTACTTCCCATTCTCTTCATTATTGATGAGATTAAATCTTTGTTCAAGTCTTTACAATTAACTGAATAGGGTCTTAAGAGGGAAGGAAGTGTATGCAACCACCTTTTTGAATTGGAAGATACCGTTATAAGTTTTTCCACTTACAACTTACAAGGCTTCAGACATATTAATATGATTCAGTGACCATATAAATAAATTGGACCAGCACTTTGGAAGAATGAGACAGGCAGATCACTTGAGGTTAGAAGTTCGATACCAGCCTGGCCAACATGGTGAAACCCCGTCTCCACTAAAATTACAAAAAAATAGCTGGGCAAGTTGCTGTGTGCCTGTAGTCCCACCTACTTGGGAGGTTGAGGCGAAAGGATAGCCTGAACCTGAAAGGCGGAGGTTGCAGTGAGCTGAGAGCACGCCACTACGCTCCAGCATGGGTGACAGTGCAAGAGTCTCAATTGGAAAAAAAACAGAGAGAGAAATTTGGAAACTACTTGGCTGTCCAAGAAAACAAGGCACAAATATAAATTATTTTTGCTTGAATATTAATCCATCTTATATTTCAGTGACTGTTAAGACACTGAATCAAGCAACCCATTCCTTGACAGTTTTGCATATCAGAAATGCTAGCCGGACCCACATATTTTTCAGAACACATGAATACAACAAACTCTGACTTTGCTTCTGTATCAGTTATGGATGAAAATGTTACTGATAGCATTTTGTTCTATTACATACCCAATAACGGAGAGCTCTGGTGGAGGCATTTTCCACCTTAATTCAATGCTTGCAGTTTTCACTCAAGGTGCTTTCTCTGGCCGGGTGCAGTGGCTCACTCCTGTCACTCCAGCACTTTGGGAGTCTGGGGCGGGTGGATCCCTTGAGGTCAGGAGTTGAAAGTGCTTTCTCTGCTGGTGAATAAGAAGTGAGCTCTGGAGAGAGGCATTTCCTCATTGTTTATAATTTTATTCTTGTAAGGATTCGCTTGGATTTTTTTTTAAGTATCTATGATACTAAAAGACTTAGTACATTCATTGTATTTGCAGCATTTATTTCCAGTGTCTGTTCTTACTAGATAAATAAGTCGAATGGCTTGGTTGAAGCTTTGTCCTTGGTTTCACAGATTTTCTTCCCTGTAGAGGTTTTGAAATGAATAAGGTAAATTCTGAATTGTGAAACATGCGAGTCGTGTTTATTGAAACACTTTCTTGTAAGATATCTCAAGAACACAACAAGGATAGTGCATAGATGATAGTTTCATTTTTTCCAAATCCACGTTTTTTCCAGTCTCTCCCAGGTCAGCTCTTCGTTGTGGCTGTCTCTTTCTGCTTCTCTTATTGCATCTCAAACTTTAAAGTTCATTCACAGGTTTTTCCTAGAACAGAAGTCAAAGGTGTCTTGTATATCTTTCCATTTCCATGCAGTTGAATGAGTCTTCCTCAGAAAAACTCTGCTCTGGAACCGTTGCTTTGTCTTTTAAAGCGACAGAGTCCCACAGCCTAGATAAGTATCTCACAGAATTTCTTGGTGATCCAGCCATGGTTCTTCACTCAGCCTGGGCAGGGAATTCCTGTCTGGCTTGGAAATGTAGTGCTCAGTTCAGAGTTGAGAGATGGGCAGGATGATGTGTAAGGGTATTTCTAACAGACTTTCTAGAATTCACAAGTCTCACTTCTCAGAACAGGGTTTTTTGAGCGCAATGCAGTGATCTGGTCCCTCCTGTAGAGAGAAGTCTGCAGCCTCTCTGTGAAAGGCACTGATTCTGGGACAGAACCCAGCCTCTATTATCCATCCTCAGTGATCTCTCAAGAAGTGGCAGTACTGAAGAGGTAGAGCTCCTTCTTCAGATATTTGTATTAGATTATTCACCTGAGCGGCCACCTGCCTGCAGTCCTCCCTCTGCTGAAACTTCATCCAAGTCCTACTATACATGGGAGATAATTAGGAAATGTTCCAGTATTACCAGTTCCATGATGTCCTTCTCGGTGTGAATCTCTGTCTTCTGTCACCAAAGGCAAAGGAAGTTCTCAGTTTGCTAAGGGTTTTCTTTAGAAAAAATAATTGTTTTATTTCTGTAGTGTCTAATGTTTCTTCATAAAATGGCTCCGTATCCCCCAGGGCTTTGCCTCTCAAGACTGCTTCCTTTTGTGCCTATCAAGGATTTGGGAGTTTCAGGGGAGAAATATGATATTCAGGGTGCTTGTGCTCTGAAGAGATTGGTCTTGGACCAGTCTTTCAAAAGCTTTTTTTTTCCCCCTGTGGTCTGCCTTCTATCTTGAGAGCTTCCAGGAAACAAAGCAAACTCCAATCTGAGAATTAGGACGTAGAAGGTGATTTTACAAGTTGATTACGCTGGTGCTGTGGGATGGTGACGCTTTCGTTTGCCTCTTTTGAGGCTAAGTTCCTTTAGTCTTCAAATGAAACGGTTCCTCTTTGAGGAACTTTTATAAAATTCTGAGGAAAATTTACTACAAATATAAGGTACGTTTTTTTGTTTTGTTTTGTTTTTTGTTTTTTCAAGAGAGACCACAGTTCTGGAGGAGAATGCTCAGAACTAGGAGTCTGGATAAAACAGTGAGGTTGTCAGTTGACTGAAAAGTAACTGTTTTGGCACTGTGCTTCTTAAAAACATGTTTCTTTAATCCTCACAATAACCTCACGAGGCGATAAGTATAGGTGTCTAATTTAAACATGAGGAAGTTAATGTTGTAAGAGGTTGGTAATTTTACCAAAGTCATATAGTCAGTAAAAGCTGAGAACTGAATCCAGATCTGTCTGAAGCCAGTCCCATGTAATTGTTTTAAGTCCTCAGTCTTCAGACCCTCAAAGCTCCCATCTGATAGGATTCAGACCTGTTTTTACTTCCCCAACCTTTTCCAGCTCTGTGCATCTGGAACTGGATCCTGGCAAGGCACCCTTAGCCAGTCGTCTTGGGAGCCCAGGCCTCAGTACCCAGAATGATTGCTGGAGGGTAGAGTTTCAATTTTAAGAGAGAGGCATGCAATTTATGATGGGCACCAAGTAGGCTGAAGTAATAAGAGACTGGGATGTGCCGTTCCTTGAGAGGTAAAGAATAACATTTAAGTGGGTAATAGCAACAGATAAGTAACGAATGGTTCTGTAAAGGCTTATCTTAGGACCTTTTGTAATATTTTTATTTGGGGAGCTATATTTTTAGATGTGAAATTATTTAGTTTAATTGAGACATTTAGGACCGCTACAATTGTATTGAAAATTTGCTATCTTTAAGTAGAAGCATTATAAAGCTTAAGCAGCTTTAGTCAAAAGTGGATGTTACAACAGATAATGGGAAGGAGGCCTTTTTGGTGGAGATCCAGGTCTAAATAATTTCATTTTGGTGTATATTTTATCTTTGATATGATCTTGAAGATTTCCATATTTTAACATGGTTTTATACAGATTTCGATACAAATATTTACATTTAGAAAACCATAGTTCTCTGCAGAACTTTACTGAACACTAAAAGACATTGGAACTTTTCCCTGTGTTACTTCTCTTAAAGGTATCTTTTCCTTTTAAAGTGACTATCAAGTATTTTTAAGGTTTTTATGCCAGTAAGTTTCAGTTCAGTGTTTTGGTTTTAATTGTGGAGTTCTTTTTTAAAAGAATGTTTATTAAGTTGTGTTTTATTGGATTGGGGTTTTTGGTTTTAAATTTTTAAAAATTGTGTTTTTTTCAGATGTATTGGCAAGTCAAGAACAACAGATGAATGAAATAGTTACAATTGATCAACGTGAGTATTCGTATCTATATTTGCCCTTTTATTGAAGAAATGTTTGATACTACAAGATAGTAAAAAGGAAAATTATTTAAAAAAATTTTTTCCCACACACAAAATAGCTTTTGTTCTGTGGAATTGAGAGCTCAACACAAGTACTTCAAAAGATCCACTCATGTCGTGTTTTTAAATGATAGGATTAACATAACAGCTTGCTTTGTATCTGAGTTCACTAAAATTTGTTAGGACATCATTTGTTTCATCTTTACTGACTGTTAATTACCAAGTTGTAAGAACAATTCTAATCACATTCATACCTGACAGAACTTTCATGCCTGATAATAACTGGATATTGGGTGGCATCCAATTAAAGTATCAGTATAGCTTGGATACAGCAAAGAAAATATTCAAGTGTCCAAAACAAACTTGAGGAGTTACACTGGGTTTGAAATGAAGAAAAAAGGCAAGTTAAAATAGGAAAACAAATAGTTTTCATTTGGTGGGAGTTGCAATCAAAAGTATACATTTGTATACATTCTAATTGATCATCAGTCCCATGTGGCATTTTCCAAGGTTTTAAGAGTCTACCAGGCCAAACCCTTCGCTGCCTTCACTACTTTTGTTTGGCTTTTCCCCTTTCTTTTCTCTCACTTTGCATTCAGCTTTATTCTTTACCTTTGGTTCATCCATATTGGGTACTGTGCATGCTGGTCTAGAAGAGTCTTTTTGTTTCTCTTAGTATCAGCCTCCATTTTCATGTCATATTTTCCAACTTTTACCTCACATTGCATTTTCTCTTAGCATGTTTGGGTTTGGGTACCACCACAGTTGCTATCTCTTAAACATTTTTCATTAAAACATTACTGTCTAGTTTGAGAGTCCTTTTAAGCCTGCTGATCTCTTTGGGGGCATTTTTTTTCCCCCTTTTCAGCAGACATCTTTCTTTTCCCCTTACACCATAAGCTTTTAGCCATGTTTTACCTGAGATACGAACACACACGTCACAAGATCATCCCAACCAGGTAAAATTTTTAATGAGGAATTTGAGATACACAAAGTGTAACACCTGTGTACATATAAGAAATAAAATTTTATATACCAAGTTTACCTGTTGTAGATTTCATTTTCCTCTCTTACCAGAGAATTGACTATCTTGAATTTTATGTTTATTACTGTCTGTATATTTTATATTTTTACCAACTATATAACCATAAACACTGTATAGCATTGTTTTGCACATGTTTAAACATTTTCTGTAAAATAATACATTGTACATATTCTTTTATAACTTTATCATTTGAGAATTACCCATGTTGATACTTGTAGCTGTTTCATTCATTTTCACTGCTGTATAGTATTTTTTAAATGCTATGAACATCATTGAGTGAATATTTGTAAGAACATGTGTGAGATGTTCATGTCATAGGGTTTCTAAAATCCTTTCAACTTTACTCCAGATACTGCCAGAGTCTCAAAGTGGTGATATGAATTCTCATTTATCCACATTTTCTAGAATATTTGACAAACTTTTTATGAACAAATGTTTTAAAAACAAACATGTTAAAATACTCTAATGTGTATGCATCACTAAGTTATTTCCAAACACGAATACTAGCTCTTACTAAGATGCACAAACTGTAATGTAAGCATTATACTGTACCATCTGACCTTTTTTGTTATTTTGTTTGAAATTGTGGCTTGAGGCTTTTTGTAGTGAAGTACTTTCTTGGGGTAATTCATAGGGCATTAGTTAAACTGATAATGTCTTTAATTTTTTTTTTCCCCTTGTCTTTGCAGCTGTGCAAATTATTCCAGCATCAGTGCAATCTGCTACACCTACTACCATTAAAGTTATAAATAGTAGTGCGAAGGCAGCCAAAGTGCAAAGAGCACCGAGGATTTCAGGAGAAGATAGAAGCTCACCTGGGAACAGAACAGGTATTTTTGTATTTTCTTGTATTTGTAAAATATATCTATCTAATTAGGTATATTTTGTTTTATTTCACTGTATGAAAAATGTGAATTTGGACTATTGCTCTGGTAGTATTTAGACAGCATTTCTAGAAAAACAAAAATTGTTTTTGCCATGGCTGAGATTTGAACCAAAGAACCAGTTTGTTGCCTTTGCCTTGGGCTAATCTATAACACTATAGCCAATGCTTTGTTCCTCTTATCAATTTAGGAAACAATGGCCAAATCCAACTATGGCAGTTTTTGCTAGAACTTCTTACTGATAAGGATGCTCGAGACTGTATTTCTTGGGTTGGTGATGAAGGTGAATTTAAGCTAAATCAGCCTGAACTGGTTGCACAAAAATGGGGACAGCGTAAAAATAAGCCTACAATGAACTATGAGAAACTCAGTCGTGCATTAAGGTAAGCCTTTATTACTGTTTTTTCTGTTACCAAGCCTTTCTGAAAAATAGCTGCTGCTTCTAGATGTAAGCATTGTTACTAATGATATTAAAAATTTGTTCATGTTTTCTTTACAAATTAAAAAACCTTTTTAAAAAGATCTTAATTTTGAGGTACGGTTTTTTTTACAAAATTACTCTAAGATTGTTTTTATCTGATTTGAAAGCATATAATACTGTCAAAATGTTTAATTTTTGAGATTTTTTTTTGCATAGGTGAATTGAGTGTTAATTTTTAATGAGTAAGCAGAAACTGTCCTCTGTTTTTACAATTACATGCAAAATATTGACCCATTTTCTATACAATCTGCCTAAATCTGGATATCCAATCTTTACATTGATACAAACTCCATAAGTAGTATAAGGTTTTTCGACAGAAATTACTATCAGAAATTATGCCTACTACAGTGATGGAAATTCAGCAGGTACATTTAAGTATCTGAGAAGAAGGATATATAAGAACCTCACAGAATTATGTCTGACTTTTGGGGGGATTGAATATAGTAAAGTAGTTCTGCAATTTATGAGTTTTTCTAAATAGCATGCTTTTACTGCTTCTTGTTTCACTTGGCCATTTTCACACTGAAAGATTATTATTTAGCTCACACACACACTCTCCCTTCCCCTTTTCCATCCCCTCATCTCAATATCCCAATATGATTATATAGAAATTTTGGTTCAGTGAGTATCATTGTTAGAGTATTATGGCCATGTAACTATTACTACATAGTTGACCGTTATTATTCCTCTTTTCCTGAATGACCTGTTGTTTCTCAGAGTTCATAAGTAACTAAAATGTTTAGTTTTCAATATGCTTATCATTTATCATTCAGTCTCAAACACATTGCCAACTGTCTAAAGATTCTTTGTGTATAATCAGAACTAAAGCTGCCATTTTTGAGAGTTGATGCAGATTGTATACATACAAGACCCCTCAAAATTACAGCGGTAATTTTGATTTTTCAAATCAAACTAAGTTTTTTCATAGAACTTGAAAAGATAATTGTAAAATTTACATGGGACTATAAAGTACCATGGTAGTCAGTAGTCAGGACACCTGAAGATTAGCAAAGTGAAAAGACTTGTCCCACAGGATATTGAGACTGACTCTAAAGTTATAGTAATAAGACAGTTAGGCTGTTTGCTCAAGACAAATAGGCCATACAGTAGAATAGGGAGCCAAAATAGAACCAGGAATACGTAAGCATTTGATTTAAAGAAATGGCAGTGGGGAGAAAACGTATGAGGAAACGATCTGCTTTTCAATCATCAGTGCTGGAATAATTTACTATCAGTCTTGGGAGACAAGTAAAAGTTGACCTCTTCCTTACGCCGTACCAAAAATCAATTCCATTTAGCTTGTAGCTACCTGTAAAAAGTGAAACAGAAAAGGATCTAGAAATATTTTCATAACTTCTGGTGGTAGGGAGACATTTAAGCAGAATCAAAAGGACTGATTATAAAGGGAAAGATCAATAAATTGGACTATATTTAAATTAGGAACTTTTGGTCATTGAAAGCCTTATTAAGAGAGCCACACATGTCTTACAGAAATATGTAGAATATCTAACCAATTCTTACGAATCAGTTTTTTAATGGGCAAGAGACTTGAATAGACACCTCAGGCTAGAGATTATCCAAATGGCCAATGAATATATGCAAAGGTGTACAGCCTCATTAGTATTCAGAGTAATGCAATTGAAAACCATAATTAAATGGTACAACACACCCCCTAGAGTGGCTGCAATTTAAAAGATTGCCAGAACTAAGTGCTGTTGAGGATATGGAGCAATGGGAATGCTTCTACCCTTTTGATAGGAATGCAGATTGTAACAGTTGCTCCCCTAAGCAAATGTTCGATATATATCAAACAGAAGTGTACTTGTATGCCCATACACATGTTCATAGCAGATTATTTGTAACATCCATACCCCAGAAACAACCAGATATCTATCAACAGTAGAGAAGAAATCATTTATGGTATATTCATACAAGAATACCTTGCATTCTCGAAAACTGAACTCCTGCTACAAAGGAAGACTAGTGAACCTCACAAACATCATGTTCAGTGACAGAATCCAGACCCAAAAGACCAAATTCTGTATGATTACATTTATTCAGTAAAGTTCAAAAAACAGGAAAATTAAATTGCAGTATTTAGGGTTGCATGTTTGGGAGATAAAAATAGAAAGCAGTGAAATTACTATCATGATCCAGGCTTGTGTTTACCTCTTAGAGCCAGGATTTGGGGAATGATTGGGAGGGGACATAAAGGGGATTCTGGATGCTGACAGTGTTCTGTTTCTTGAGTGATACTTAACAGGGGAATGAATGTTCACTTTGTAATAAATCACTGAACTGTTCACTTCTGTGTCCTTTTGTGTGATATATTTGCAATTAAAAAGTTTTTAAAAAATACAAGTTCAAAAAAAGGGAAGAAAAGAAATCATATCCATGAAATACAGGTATTGTGTATCTTTCTACTTTCTTCATTTTAGGGAGGGGACAAGTGGAATAAGTGCTACTGTATACAGTTGTGTGATGCATGTGCTAGATCAAAGGAAGTATTCAGTAAAATTCAAATTTGTGTGTGTATATTCTTTTTTTATCACCTCTTACCAAGAAATATAATGCCAACTCCTAGAACTGGCATAATCATAGAATATATTTTCCTCCTAGAATTATAAAACCTCTTTTCCATTTTCCTTTTTTCCCCACGTATAGTCTTACATATTAATGTAGAAATTTTTTAAAGCAATTGAAACGCCTACAGCATTTTTAACTGGATGGCAAGGAATTGTTGGTTTGTGAGCTGAGATCCAAATTCTATACTAATGTAACTGACATAAATGGAAACTACAAGACTGCACAATGTGTTACATCTCTTACTGGGAAATCAAACATAACTATTTTCCTTTAACTATTCTGAAATTAGGGAAAGATGAGAGTTTCCTGTATATAGGTCAGTCCTTTCATTAATAGACTCTTGATTAAGCCAAGTGACTTTTATCCTGCTAAATGTGATAGTTTATATCAGTGGTACTTTTGCAAATAGTTGTTTCTTTTGTAGTAGCCCTTTGTCAGTGGGCAGTGCAATTTTAAAATAAGAGCTTTGCATTCTGCCAGTCCTGGAAAGAGCTTGACTTGCCTCTTTTTCCTGTTGTTGGAATTAGCAGTACATAGTGTTTGTTTAAATAAAGTCTGTTTTCCAAAGGAAACATAAATCCAACTCTGTTTGCATCTCTATAGAATGCAGCAGTAAACCAGATTTCTAGAATGACTCTTGGAACTCTGCTTGTGTACGTTTAGAAATATTCTCTCTTTACAATGCCCTTTTCTTGTTTTTCTGTATCCTCTATTTCGTTTAGACCTTTTCCTTAGACTTAAAGCTCCCTATTGGGCTTGGATAATTTATCTGAAATTTGGAAAGTATTTACATAGTGAAAAAATAAAGATGAAGACATGACTTCATCATATAGGATTCTTTACAAGACAGAAAAGAAGTGGAATATATTAGTCTTTTCATATTATCGATTTTTATTAACATAGCTTATATTTTGTAGAGGGCTGTGTGCCAGTCATTGTATACTAAGCACTTTACAAAGATTATCCCTCTAATCCTCAACAGTGATATGAGGGTTGTAAGCACTGTTCACCTCACTTTATAAATGAGGAATAAAAGCTTTGAGAAAATATGACTCCTGTGGTCTCAGAAATGTTAGGTTTTGAATCTCGGCTCTGACTCCAAAGCTCTTGTTCTTAGGCTCTTCTACTGCTCTAAAGGTTTTTTGTTTTGTTTAATAATTACTTTTAAATCAATGTTTTATCCTAATTGTTGAAAATACGTTTTGAAAGTTTATAGAGTTTTGGAGTACTGAGCGTTGAAATTGTAGTAAATGATGTTTGGATGTGTTTCATTTGATAGTAGCATTAAATATTCTATATAACTTCAATATTAACTGCTATTGTGGTGGATGCAGCACTCTACTAGGCTTCTGCTTACAGAATAGTCTGTAAATTATTCTAAGAAGTCTCATTTATTTTTTATGAAGTCTCTAATTTTTTTTCTCTTTTTAAAGGTATTATTATGATGGGGACATGATTTGTAAAGTTCAAGGCAAGAGATTTGTGTACAAGTTTGTCTGTGACTTGAAGACTCTTATTGGATACAGTGCAGCAGAGTTGAACCGTTTGGTCACAGAATGTGAACAGAAGAAACTTGCAAAGATGCAGCTCCATGGAATTGCCCAGCCAGTCACAGCAGTAGCTCTGGCCACTGCTTCTCTGCAAACGGAAAAGGATAATTGAGCTCCAGGACATTCTGGGACTCCAAAGTCTTTCTTAAAATGTTTAGAGCAAGTATAGCTCTTACCTTTATTACCGAATTTGAATCTTCTTTTATTTCTAGACTGTACAGTCTGATGCATGATTTTTTTATAAATATTTCATACTCTTGTGAATTTGGATCTTTTTACTTTGAGCATATATTTTAGAATATGTGTATGTTAAAGGATCTCCACAATGTCTGCAGCGTGAAGGCAGGTTCATTGTGGAATAGTTCGTTAACAGTCAGGAAAGCTAAACTGGTCAGTATTAATGTGTAGCCCTACCAAAAATAGCCAGTAGTATCTGAAAATGAAAAATAAATGAAGTATCTCCAGGAAACAGTCTGGCTTAACTATTTTTGAAAATATAACTGTTTCCCCTCTCTGCTGCTTTAGATGTTGCTTTACATAGAACCAGAAAATGGAATTTCTCAGCTAAAGCATGTGTGCCTGTTTCATCTAATCAAGCAGAGCTTAAAATGTTCATATCAAATAAATTTATATTAATAAATTACTAAACTAAGAGTATCAGGTTATTTATATATTTGCAAGCAAAGGACAGTAAGAAGTTGACTGGCAAAAAGAGCAGTGCTGAAGGAGGAGATCCAGGTTTAAATCTGGCTTATTAACTCAAGCCAATTGTAAGGATTTTCTGTATAGATTATTCATGTCAGACCAAGAATTTAAATTATTTTGAGAGAGGCATTTAATTCTAATAAACCAGCTGTTACAAAAATTATAAAATGATCTCTGTTTTTCCTGTCAGAGATTTAAAAAACTGAAAAGGTATACCTCAACCCAAAAGTAAAGGTTTGGTTTGGTTTGTTATGGCTTTTTTTTAAAGTTACCCTGTAGTGCCAGTTTATTATGCAAAGCAGCTTATATTCCTGTGTTTCTGATAAAATGAAGACTTTAAATTAGTCAGCAGTACTTTACCTTTCAAGGCATTAGTAAATTACTTGCAAATAGTTTTAAAAAGAAAATTCGACCTCTGTTATAGGCAGTCTTCTCTTTAAGATAATACTTTTCCACTTATTTTTTTCCTTTTCCATATTATATATGTGTATACATATATCTATATATTCAGTTGATCATTTTATAAACATATATGAAGGCATAAAGATATACAGAAGAAAAATTACTCATAAGATTCAAATTAATTCCTGCATATATGACATTCCTTACATAAGCTAACACTAAACAAAAATGGCTAGAAATATTTTTCTTTTCTGTTTTTGTTGTTTAAGGTATTAAGCACAAATTATTATATGAGACTGGCAGATAGCTATTAATGCTCTTACAGATTTGAGAAGGTTGATTCTCAAATATTTATGCACGCACCTTCTCCTTCATTGTTTTCTTTAAATCTGTCCCCTTAAAAAGCTTCTTAAGAGCTCAGTTAATGCTTTTAACTAGGAGAAAAAGGCATGTTAATACAGGCAAGATGGCATTGTTAGCAATTCTGGTAATGGTTTAGAATGAATCATAAGAGGCAGGGTTCTTAAGGACAAGGAAGAGAGGAGAGAGAGGAGGGATCTTTGATCTCTTTCTCTGGTAATCTTAACGCATAATTTTACTACAACATGTTCTCTTAATTCATTTATATTAAGTCCTTTCTGCAGCTGATATCTGAGCAGAGTAAAATTTGTATGTCCATTATTACTAAGAATGTCTGAGTAAAATAACAATATGAAATAATATACAGAAGCTGTAGCGTCAGATAGCAAATAGCTAGAAAGGTTTTGCACCATCCTCTTACGGCCTAGGGAGTTGACAAGTTGCTTGTAGTTTTTAAAAAAATAATAAAATATACCATTCTGGTATATCATCAAGAGCTTAAGAATCTTGGCTTTCATATTTAAAATGCTTTTGGGGAGACATATATTAAAATGTTAGCCAGGATGACAGACATGTCTCAATTACATATGTGTGTATATGTTTTTAAAGCTAGAAACATTAGTTTTAGATCCCTAGAATGAAAATTCTTTTCTCATCTATGCGATTCCCATATGGTTTTTTTTAAATCATATTTTATTCATTTTCTCCTTTTAGCAATTTTCATCTTATTTCTCATAATTTGAACAGAGACAGTTCTCATACATGATCAGATGCTTTTTTTTTCTTCTTACCATCATTTATGCGTGACATAGGTAAAGTAATATGACTAATTTCTCCAGTTGATTCAAGAAACTCATTACTTTGCCTTAAATTATATGTAAAATATTTGTTTTACTTACAGTTATCAGAAAGCCAGGTAGTTTTTTCTCTTCTGTTAAAAGATAACATATTGTGAAAGAAAATAAAATTCATGCTATTCATTCTTTTTTATAAATGAATTTTTCATACAATTTACAGTATATTCAAAGGAAGAAAGATAAAATTACTGGTCATCATTTGTACCTTAGAAGTACAAGAATTTAAGTAAATGTTCCTTTTTGTTTTAAAACTTGTTTTCCATGTGAAGTTTTTATTGAGCCAACTTTCATACATATCTCGCCAGCCTAAAGTCTAAATATTTGTGTTGGCATCAGAAAAACCAGTTAGGCAGAATTGTTTTGCATGGTCGATCTTCAGATAAATTGACTGATCACATTTATTTTTGTATCAGTCTATGTCATTTAATTAGGAAAAATTGTTTAGGTGTTTTCTCCCCTGATTAATGGTGATACTCAAGTATGATACAAAAAGAATTGTACCACCAAATATTTTTGCAAGGTCTGCTGTTTTCCATATTCCTTTTATGCTACTGCCTTTAAGAAAGAACTAGTATCCTTGAAATAGCACAAAAATGTTTTAAAATTCATAATTGCAAAACAAACCTGTGACTAACTTAATGTCTTCAGATCTAAAGGGTGTAAAAATATTGATACTTCAATATTTCACTTGCTACCAGGAAAAAAAAAAATTCTCAATCTTTTGTAAATGGGAGGAGGACTTTTGCATACATTTTTACTCTTTAAATAACGACAACGACACTTATACTGTCATAATAACAATTATGTATTTCTTTGTGGTTTTAATTTTTTTTGTAATTTTACATAAAACAGTTATTTTCTATTTTTACGCAGATAAAAAATATTTGTGCATAAAATGTAAAAATAGTAAAATGAGAAAAATAAAACTATTATACAGTATGTTTCTGTGTTGCTTAAAGTTTTTTTTTCCTGAAAACAAAATCTTAAATCCCCAGGATATTTTGTTGGATAATAATCTGACCGTCCACTCATGATACATTGTACATATGATTCCCATGCACTTTTTAACTTAAAAGCTGTCAATTTGCGAAGAACATATTTCACTGAACTAAATTTAGTAGGTTAATCTCTTTAAGAAAATGAAATTCCATCTACAAAGCCAAATTGTTTTAGAATAGTAACAGATGAAGTGGTAAGACTGAGTAGCTATCGGAAGGCAAGCTGATGATTGCTAAATTGTAAACCTTTTGTAAAGTTTTTTTTTAAAAAAAAAACAAAGAAAAAATCACCTGTTCATGTTGGCTATCAGCAGGTTGCTTCAGCCAGAATCAGAATATAGAAGAATGGAAGGGGTTGGGAAAGAGTGATTCATGCCTGCCTTTATGGTGAAGCAATGATGAAACTTTGATTGACATGCTTAAATAGAAACTTATGGTTAGAAATAAATTGCTTTAAAAATACAGTGTAATTGTATCTAGTTTGAAGCGATGAAAAACCATCAGCCAGGACGCTAGTGAGGTGTATTTGTTCTCCCAGGACTGCAGTTGTGTGTGTGTACAGCTTTAGAGTTTAATTTGCAAGCCAAATGTGTGTTTACAATGCTTTTTACTAATAATAAACTGACAGCTTTAGAACATTGCTTTTAAAACTTTCTGTAGTAAAGGACCACTTTCTTATTTCCAATTTGTCACAGACAAACATTTGTAAAATAAAAACTGAATTAGTAGCAGGGAGGGGGAAATGGGAAGTTACTGTTTAATGGGCATAGAGTTTCAGTTTCGCAAGATGGAAGAACTGGAGATGGTTACACAGCTATGAATATGCTTAACAATACCAAACCATATTAAAGATGGTTAAGATGGTAAATTTCATATTATGTGTATTTTACCACAGTTGAGTTTTTTTTAAAGAATCAATTACAAGAATTTTAAAAATCAGTATTTACCATATTAACAATACAATGGGGGAGGAACATGTTCAACTCAATAGATGCCAAAAAATATACAATTTAACATCCATTCATGATTAAAACTCTCAGCAAACTAGAAGAGAACTTCCTTAACCTGATAAAAAGGTATCTATGGAAAAACCTGTAACGAACATCACATGTTTGTTGCCCCTCACCACTCCGCCCCCCTTCCCACAAGATTTGGGAAACACAAATCTGCTTTTATCATTTTTATTCAGAATTGTGTCCTAGCCTGTGAAATAAGGTAAGAAAAGTAAAAAGCATACGTACTGCAAAAAATAAAACTGCAGAAGACATCAGACATGTTAAACGCCCCCAGGAATAAAAAAAGTTGTGAGAATAACAAGGTAAGGTACAAGGTCAATATGCAAAGTTCAATTTTATTTCTACATGCTAGAAACTAATAAAAGGAAATTAACATTTAAAAACCACCATTTACAATAATACTGACATGAAATAGGGACAAATAGAGCAAAATTTGTGCAAGACCTATCAATGAAAACTATAGAACTTGCAAAGAAATGAAAGAATGTCTAAGTAGGTGGAGATATAACACCATAATTCTGGATTGGAAGACTCAATTTTGGGTTTTCTTACTTTTTTCTTTTTGAGACAGTCTCACTCTGTCACCCAAGCTGGAGTACAGTAGTGCTATCTCAGCCCACTGCAACCTCCGCCTCCTGAGTTCAAGCGATTATCATGCTTCAGCCTCCCGAAGAGCTGGGATTACAGGCGCGTGCCATGATACCTGACTAACTTTTTGTATTTTTAGTAGAGATGGGGGCTTCGCTATGTTGGCCAGGCTGGTCTCGAACTCCTGACCTCAAGTGATCTGCCTGGCTCGGCCTCCTGAAGTGCTGGGATTACAGGCGTGAGCCACCATGCCTGGCCTAAGACCCAATTATGTAATATAAATCTTGTAAATGTTAGTTATTCCTAAATTGATCTATAAATTAAATTACAATAAAAATTCTGCCCGTCTTTTTGTAGACAAGCTAATTATAAAATTTATATGTAAATACAAATGACAGAATAGCCACAATATTTTGGAAAAAGAATTAGAGAACTTGCACTGTGCTATATAAAACTTTGCTATATAAAGCTACAGCAATCAAGAAGTGGTATTTAGGTAAGGATAAACATATAGGTCAATGAACAGACTAGGATCCAGAAATGGACCCACCTCATTGATTTTTGACAAAGTTGCCAAGGTAATTCAATAGGGAAAGGGTAGTTATTTCAACAAATGTTAGAACAACTACATATATTCATGGAGAAAAATTAATGTTAACCCTTGCCTCATACCACACATAAAAATTAACACAATGGATTCTAGACCTAAATATAAAATCTAAAACTTATAAAACATTTTCATAACCTTGGAGTAGACAAAGATTTCTCAAGATATTAAAGAAGCAAAACTAGGCTGGATGCGGTGGCTCCTGCCTGTAAATACAGTGCTTTGGAAGGCTGAGGCAGGAAGGTTACTTAAGGCCATGAGTTTTGAGACCAGCCTGGGCAACATAGCGAGACCCCATCTTTACAAAAATATAAAAATGAAAATAAAATTCGCTGGGCATGGTTGTGTACAGCTGTAGTTCTAGCTATTCAGAAGGCTGAGGCGGGAGGATTGCTTGAGCCCAGGTTCAAATTCGAAGTTCAAGTGCAGATCGAGCTTGAGGTAACAGGTGTGATTCTGCCACTACAGCACTCCAGTCTGGGGGTGACAGAGTGGGGCGCTGTCTCTGATAAACAAGACAGTAAATTGGACTTCATCAAAAAATTTTAAAACACCTGTTCTTTGAAAGACACTATGAAAATAAAAGGCAAGGCTGGGTGTAGTGACACACGTCTGTAATTTCAGTGCTTTGGGAGGCTGACTGGGGAGGATTGCTTGAACCCAGGAGTTTGAGACCAGCCTGGGCAACCTCATGAGACCCCCTCTCTATGAAAAAAATAATTTTTTTAATTAGCCAAGTATGGTAGCACGCACCTGTAGTTCTGGCTACTCAGAAGCCTGAGGCAGGAACATTGAGTCTAGGAGCCTGAGGTTATGATGAGCTATGATCACACCAGTGCACTCTAGTCTGAGTGACAGAGCAAGACCCCGGCTCAAAAAAAAAAAAAAAAAAAAAGGTTATTAAGTTAAATAAAAGGCAAGGTACAGATTGGGAGAAAATATTTGCAATACACTTATCTTACAAAGGTAAGATAAGTATATTTGACCTTTGTAAGATAAGTGTATTTGACCATATTAATTTGCAATATTTTGTCATTAAGTGATGAGCATCAGTTTTAACTGATTATGGCAGTGTTACTATCTTACAAAAGTAAGATATTTAATATCAAAAATATATGAGAAACTCTTTTAACTCACTAAGACAAATAATTTATGGTCAAAGGATTCGTATAGACGTTTCATAAAAAAAGATATATGTATGGCCAGTAAGCATATGAAAAGCTATTTGGCATTATTAGTTATCAGGAAACATGAAGTCACAATCCAGTACCACTAAAATACACATTACAACTGCTCAAAGTTAAAAGACTCACAATACCAATTGTTCTCAATGACAAGGACCAAATGAAGTCACGCACATTGCTAGTGGAAATGTAAAATGGCACACTACTTTGGAAAATTTAAACACTTCTGGCACGACACAGCAATTCTAATCCTAGGCATTTATTTATTTATTTTTTTGAGACAGAGTTTCACTCTTGTCACCCAGGCTAGAGTGCAATGGTGCAATCTCGACTCACTGCAACCTCCACCTCCCAGGTTCAAGTGATTATCCTGCCTCAGCTTCCCAAGTACCTGGGATTACAGGCACCAGCAACCACGTCCAGGTAATTTTTGTATTTTTAGTAGAGACAGGGTTTTGCCATGTTGGCTGGGGCTAGTCTCGAACTCCTGACCTCAGGTGATCTGCCCGCCTAGGCCTCCCAAAGTGCTGACATTACAGGTATGAGCCATCATGCCCGGCCCAATCCTAGACATTTATTTAAGAGAAATAAAACACGTTCACTGAAAGACTTGTACACGAATGTTTATAAGAGCTTTATTCATAACGTCCCCAAACCGTTAACAACACAACTATCCATCAACAGGTGACTGAATAAACAAATTATGAATACCCATAGAATAGAAGTATGACTCAGCAATAAAGGGAGTGAACAACTGCCTCATCAACAACTCTGGAAAAGGCAAATCTCATTGTAAGGATAGAAAGCAGTTCATTGGTTGCCTAGGGCTAGGGATAGTGGTTGATTTCCTGGATTAGGCATAAAGAAATTTGGGAGGATGATGAGCATAGCCTATATTATGCTTTGTTGACGATTATCTGGATGAACAGATTTGCCAAAACTCATCTAAATGTATACTTAAAATAGGTGCAAGGGGTTATGTAAATTACACAATACGTTTAAAAACTGAATTACTAGAGAAATGAAATTTAAAAGACAAAAATACATAAGTATTTTTTAAAAATTATTTTAGGTTCCACAGGCATAAGGTTTCTCTATCAAATTACCAAAATTGTTTTAATGCTTGCACTTATCTCCCTGTGGACTGACAACAAACACTTCACAGACTGACCACACTGACTTACAACATTTCATCATCAACTGATGAGCATCGTTTTAACTAAACGATTATGGCAATGTTCATGGGACTTGAAAATTTCTCCGTAAACTTTTTTTTTTTTTTTTTTTTGAGACCGACAGTCTCACTCTGTTGCCCAGGCTGGAGTGCAGTGGCTTGATCTTGGCTCACTGCAACCTCTGCCTCCTGAGTTTAAGCAATTCTCCTGCCTCAGCCTCCCCAATAGCTGGGATTGATTACAGGCCTGCATCACCACGCCCAGCTAATTTTTGTATTTTTAGTAGAGACGGGGTTTCACCATGTTGACCAGGCTGGTCTTGAACTCCTGAGTTCAAGTGATCTGCCCACCTCGGCCTCCCAAAGTGCTGG